GTTTGAGTCTTTAACCCAATATTAATTGGATTGTTTTGTGTGTTATCTAATTTCTTGAGTTCATTATATTTTTGGGTATAAATCATCTGTCAAATATAGGGGTAGTGTAGTTTTTTCCCCAGTCTATAGGCTACCATTCCATTCTATGGATGATATTATTTCCCTTGAAGTCAATTTTTTTTGTTTTAGGAGATTCCATTTATAAATTGTTGACCTTATAGCTTGAGCAATTGCTGTTCTGTTCAATATGTTGTCTCCTGTACCATTGTATTCAAGACTATTCCCCACTGTGATGGTTTGTATTTGCTTGGGTTAAGGAGTAGCTCTATTTGAAAAGGAGTTTTAGGGTTGTTTGAGCATGTTGAGCATGTGTTTCACTGTGGACATTGGCATATATGTATATTTATCCATATATATATATATATATATATATATATATGGATATTTTATTTACATTTCAGATGTTATCCCCTTTCCTCATACACCCCAGCACCCAGGAACATCCTTCCCGTCCATCCTCCTCCTGATTCTATGAAAATGTGGCCCTATCTAACCCCCTACTCCAGTCTCCCCACCCTTGAGTTCCCCTACACTCTGTGTCTTGCCTATATGGGACAAAGAATCTCCTCTCCCACATATGCCCCAAAAGACCATCCTCTCCTACATATACAGCTGGAGCCATGGGTCCATCCCTATGTGATCCAAGGCTGGTGGTTTACACCCTAGAGAGCTCTGGTTGGTTGGTATTGTTGTTCTCCTCATAGGGCCACAAACCCTTTCAGCTCCTTCAGTCTTCTAACTCCTCCATTGGGAACCCCTTGATCAGTTCAATGGTTAGCTGTGAGCATCCACCTCTAAATATGTCAGACTCTGGCAGATCTCTAAGGAGATAGCTATATCAGGCTTCTGTCAGCATGCACTTCCTGACATCCACATCAGCATCTACCTTTGGTAACTGCACATGGGACGAATACTCAGGTGGAATGGTCTCCAGATGGCCCCTCCTTCAGTTTCTGTTCCACACTTTGTCTTCATATTTGCTCCCTTGAGTATTTTGTTACTCCTTCTAAGAAGGACTGAAGCACCCACATTTTGTCTACCTTCTTCATAAGTTTCATGTGGCCTGTTAGTTGAATAATGGGTATTTCAAGCTTCTGGGCTAATATCCAATATATACAAAGAACTTAAGAAGTTAGACCCCAGGCAACCAAGTAACCCTATTAAAAATGAGGTACAGAGCTAAACAAGGAATTCTTAACTGAGGAAACTCGAATATCCAAGAATCACCTAAAGAAATGCTCATCATCCTTAGTCATCAAGGAAATGCAAATCAGAACAACGGTGAGATTCCACCTCACACCACTCAGAATGACTAAGATCAAAAACTCAGAGAATAGTAGATGCTGGTGAGGATGTGGAGAAAGGGGAGCACTCTTCCATTTTTGATGGGGTTGCAAGCTGGTACAACCACTCCTGAAATCAATCCGGCAGTTCCTCAGAATATTGGGTATAGCATTACCTGAGGACCCAGCTATACCATTCCTAAACATATACCCAGAAGATGCTCCTAAATATAACAAGGACATATGCTCCACTATGTTCATAGCAGCCTTATTTATAATAGCCAGAAGCTGGAAAGAACCCAGATGTCCCTCAACAGAGGAATGGATACAAAAAAATGTGGTACATTTACACAATGGAATATTACTCTGCTATTAAAAACAATATATTTGAGAAATTCTTAGGTAAATGGATGGAACTAGAAAATATCATCCTGAGTGAGGTAACCCAATAGCAAAATAAATATGGAATTCACTCACTGATAATTGGATATTAGACCAGAAGCTTGAAATACCCAAGACATTGGATTTAATACACTAGTCCTAGCTTCCTGGAAGTCAGTTGTCTCTTATTTGTCTGCAGATGAAGGTGTAGAACTCTCAACTCCTGCTGTACCTTGCCTTCCTGGATGTTACCATAAACTAGCCTTGATGATAAAGAATTGAATCGCTGTACTTGAGTTCCTATTGTATGTTCTAAGCTTAAAATTTTCTCTTCCTTCTCTTATGTTGTGTTGATGATGCTTGTAGCTAGAACTCCTGCTCACTTTTCTAGGTTTTCTGACTCCATTTTGACTCAGTTTCTGTATTCTCCATTGTTCCTATTTTCCTTTTCATATCTTACCATTTTTACTTACTTTATCTATTTGATTGTATTGTCCTGTACTTCTTCATATTAATTTTCTTTCTTATTATGGGTCTCTACTTGTGCAATTGAATTTTCTGTTATTTCTTAAGTGAATCTCTGTAAATATATTTTATGTACTTCTTTTTAAAAGGCCGAAATCATCTTCATAAGATTAGACTTAAGGTCATTTTCTTGCACTTCAGGATTGTTCAGGAATTCAGACGTTAATGTTAGAGGATAGATACGCTTTAGTAGTGGCATTTGCTCTAAAATTTTAAAATTATGTTATTTCTTAGTTTATAGGCAATTTTGGAGTCTTTGGTGTTCACAGTCCTTGTAGTCCCTGATAGCTATTGGACTCTGCCACTGCATGTCCAACTGGAAGTTCCTCAGAGCCCCAGCCCTCTGGGATTCCAGGAAGACATGCTTTGCCATAGGTGTCATCAGGATTCCAGGGTTGTAGGCAAAGAAAGTAGTCCCAGATATGTTCAGACTTCTGTTTGTCCATGGCGTAGGAATGCCTCAATGAAAGCATTCAGAGCTTGTGGTTACTGAGGACAGCAGTAATCTTGGATTGCATGTAGTGCTATAGACTGGAAGATGTAGCACCAAGTGGGTGGGGGCAGACTTCATGGATGCTGTGCTTTCCAGGAAATACAGGAGGGAAAGGATTGGGAATCTCACATGTTTATCTTGGAAGGCAGCATGCCTCCTGGGAAGCAGGTAGAGCTTTGGCACAGGGAATGGAACTCAAATTTTAGACTCTGAAATTATTATTTAAGTAATGTATAAGTGTTCAAATATCAAGTCAAGAATTTCCTACTTAATTCTAACTAAAGTTTTATATAATAATATGGTAAAAAAATGAATTTATACACATAAAGTCTTTTACCACGTTGAAGAATTATGAAGTTCTTCAGGATTTATCTGTCTCAGTGAATATCCCTTAACATATGACAAAATTGTTAAATTCTGTATTCTCATGTGTTGTACACATGTTTTAATGGATATACTTACAACTTTATTATATATCTTTCCATATTTTAAAAAAATTTTCACCATATTCCATCTTCTACTTAATTTTTCTTTTATGTTCTCACTTTATATATGGCTCATTGGTTCCCTTGCAGTCACCCCCTCATACAATCTTTACCCCATTTCCTATTTCATTGTACTTTGAGTAGGTAGTGCTCCCCTGTATATATCCTGAAGATAGAGCTTCAATTTTATCCTAGGTAGGTGCTTCCTCTCCCACTAAGACCATTAAGGCCAGAGAAGGCAGCCCAGGTAGTAGAATATATACTATATACAGACAACAGCTTTTAGAAAAGCCTCCATTCTTACTGTCATTAACCACAGGATGGTTAAGCTGCACACCTGCTACATATATGTCTAGGTCCAGTCCATGCATGTTCTTTGGTTGGTGGTTTAGAATCTTAAGTCCCCAAATGTCAAGGTTGGTTGACTCTGTTAATCTTCCAGTGAAGTTCCTATTGCCTTCATAGAGCAAGATCCTACTTCTTATTCTTCCTTAAGAAACTCAAGCTGCATCTTCTGTTTTTCTGCAGTTGTCTCTATCTGTCTGAGTCAGAAGCTGGGTGGAGCCTCTCAGAAGTAGCATGCTTCTGTCTACAAGCATTACACAGTATCATTAATAATGTCAAAAATTGTTGCTTGCACATGGGATGGATGTCAATTTCATCCAGTTTTTATATCAATATTCCTCTAGTCTCTGCTCCATCCCCAGTGTCTGAATTTCTTGTAGACAGTATGAATTTTTAATTGAAATGTTTCTGGTTGTCATTGAAATGTTTTCTAGGTGTCTCTCTCACTCTTTTGGGGTTCCTGACTGGCTAGAGGAGGTAGCCTCTTCAGGTTGCATATCTGTGATATAGTGAGGCACAACTAAGGTCACCCCCATTGATTTGTTGGTCTCTCCCTTACCCTTGCTAACTGTCTCATACCCAAGATGTCACCCATCTCTGATCTCACTCTGTTGCAGATTTCCATTTACTTTTATTAACATCTAGCCCTCTCTTCTGTCACTCTCTACACATGATCCTTTAACCCTCATCCCACTCCCTTACCCACCCTCTTCTCCCAGTTCCCTTTCCTCCATCTGCCTATTATGGCTATTTTATTCCAATTTCTAAATGAAATTCAAACTTCCTTGGTAGTGCATTCATCAATTGTAGGTTCATTTGGTCTTAGTAGTGTAAAATGTTAAATGTATTTTATGGCTAATATCTACTTTTAACTAAGTACATACCATGTGTGTCATCTTGTGACTAGGTTACCTCAAACAGGATGAAAGTATCAAGCTCTATCCATTTTCTTGAAAAATTCATGAGTTCTTTGTTTTTGGAACTGAATATTATTGTGTTGTGTAAATGTACCATATTTCCTTTATCCACACTTCAGAGAAGCTTTCCATATAGGTTTTTTACAGTTTTTGGCTTTTACAAATGAAGCTGCTATGAACATTGATGATAAAATGGTTTTCTGGGATGGTAGAGAACTTAAGATTTTATCATATATCATTCCTAATTTTCTTATAAAAATTCCCTGTGATTTTAAATATATTTCTTTTTCTTGCATTATCATTCAGTCATGAAAGAAGTATTGTATATCTTCATTTCTATCATTCTGTCATTGAAAAGGTGATTTGTTTTCACATTGATAATTCATTTTCACAGAGGGAACATTTTTTTGAATTAATAGGTGATAGTTGCCACACTTTGTTACAATTAATACTGTTATAATGTATACAAAATTATAACATTCATAGTATTATAAAATATATGATATATTTCATGAATAAACTTCTAATAACTATTTTGTTTCAAGTTCATTGCAGAATCCATACAGAAGAGAAAGCTTACAGATGTAATGAATGTGGCAAATCTTTTACAAGGAGCTCATACCTTAAAGTTCACTACAGGTTTCATAGAAGTGAAAAACCTTACAAATGTAACGACTGTGGCAAATCTTTTACATGGAACTCAGGCCTTAAAGTTCACAAAAGAATTCATACTGGAGAGAAACCTTACAGATGTAATGAATGTGACAAATCTTTTACAAGTAACTCATACCTTAAAGTTCACTACAGGTTTCATAGAAGAGAAAAATCTTACAAATGTAAGGAATGTGGCAAATCTTTTACACAGAACTCAGGCCTTAAAGTTCACCAAAGATTACATACAGGAGAGAAGCCTTACAAATGTATTGAATGTGGAAAATCATATACACAGTACTCTAATCTTCAAGTTCACTACAGAATCCATACAGTAGGGCAACCTTACAAATGTAATGAATGTGGCAAATTATTTACACAGAAGTCAACCCTTAAAGTTCACCAAAGAATCCATACAGGAGAGAAACCTTACAGATGTAATGAATGCGGGAAATCATTTAAACAGAACTCAGAACTTCAAGTTCACTACAGAATCCATACAGGAGAGAAACCTTACAAATGTAAGGAATGTGGCAGATCATTTACACAGATCTCACACCTGCAAGTTCACCAAAGAATCCATACAGGAGAGAAACCTTACAAATGTAAGGAATGTGGCAGATCATTTACACAGATCTCACACCTGCAAGTTCACCAAAGAATCCATACAGGAGAGAAACCTTACAGATGTAATGAATGTGGGAAATCCTTTATCAAGTCATCACTTCTTAAAGTTCACCACAGAATCCATACATGAGAGAAACTTTACAAATGTAATGAAAGTGGCAAATCTCTTACAGATAACTCAAGCCTTCAAGTTCACCACAGAATACATACATACCCAAAAGGCATATTATATTCATATTTTGTAGTACTTTCAAAAACAGAATATAAACATTGTTTTACCCAGCATTAATCTGAAACCATTTATAGTGGTATAATTTTCATTTTCAAACTCATAAAAGAAACAATATTCTAAAGTATAAGGATTTAACAAGAATAATATGAATAACTATTTTAATACAAATATGTTGCTTAATGTTCATATAGTTTAGTATGGGAGAATATTGGTGTTTATGTGATATATTCTCTGTGAAAATTATTGTGTTCTTAGCTTTTGACTTTTTGATAAAGTAATTTTTAATCTCTAATGTCATACTTCTCACAATTTTCAATAAATGCGTTACCACTGTCTTTTATTACTATAGCCTTGGTGTGATAACTGTCTATCTTATGCTGGGATGGTATCAATCATGTTGTATAGTTCCTTATTTGTAATGCCAACAGAAACAAGTGGTAAAAGATAAATTTGATTGCTTTAGACAAATTCCAAGACAATAGTTTGGGAGATAATATATGTTGAGTGGCTGAAACCATGAGGTTTCCCAAATGAGTGCTTGCTTGTGTAAGTGTGTGTGTATTATGGACAAAATTACTTGTATTACAAGGGACATGATTTCTGGTCTAGGGCAAAATTCTAAATGGACTGATTGTGTGGGATGGGGATTGAAGCTATAAGATGACAAATCCTAATCTCATCAAAATGTTGAAATTCATGGGATGTTCTGAATAATGTCCATGATAGAATTCTCGCAATTTTTGTCAAAACTCCATTATGTCACAAATGGATGACAAAATGGAAAAGCCTTCATTTTACTTATTGCTAATGACAATGTGTTTTGTACTTGAGTCTCTGTCAGCAACTTTGAATTTCAAGCAAGGTGTAGAAGGATAGTTAGGCCATTTGTAATTCACATTTATTGTGAACACAGCACTGGTTAACAGGGCTGAGAAAATGTCTATGGAGTAGGATAGTGAGTTCTTTATCCAGATGACATAAGTGATACACATCTGGGTCCTCTGTTACTGTTTTGAGAATTCTCCACATTGATTTCCATCGTTGCTGTGGTAGTTTGCAAACATGAGTGTAATTTCTGGTATAACTTCGCCATTATCAATCAATTGCTTTGCTTATATTTGCTTTTATGTCTGTAAGTACATCAATGCATCAGTAATACTGTGAGGCCTTGCAGCCTCCTCTTGTCATGGATCCCAATTTGAGCCAGTCACTGGAATTCTTTTACCTCAGTCTATTCTTCATTTTTGTCCCTATAGTTCTTTTAGATAGGGACAATTCTGGGTCAAAGTTTTGACTGTGGGATGAGAACAGCTTAGTGACTACAGTAATCAGGAAACAACCCAGATATCCCACAAAGAAGAATGGATACAAAAGAAATGTGTTGAATTTACACAATGGGATACTATTCAGATGTTAAACACAGGGACATCATGAGTTTTGTAAACAAATGGATGGAACTAGAAAATATCATTCAGAATGAGGAAACTCACTGACAAAATGACCTGCATGGTATATACTCACTAATAAGTGGATATTAGCCAAAATACTACAGAATAACCAAGATAAAATCCACAGAATTCAAAACACTTAACATATCAAAGGAAACAAGTAAAGGTGCAGTAATCCTGTTTGGGAGGGAAGAGAAAGTAATCACATGGGGCAGAGGGAGGGGGAATCATGAGTATAAGAGTGAACAGGGAGGGCTAAAGGGGAACAAGAACAGGTATTTGGAGGTACGATTATTGCCCTGGGGGCAAGCAGAAAGAATTGAAATTGGAAACCTCCTGTGTGTAGGAGGTAGGGGAACCATCTAAAATGTGTCAGAGACCTGGGAGATGAGAGACCTGTAGGACTTAAAGGGAGTGACATTATATGGAATACCTAACAGTGGGGATTGGAAACTTGTGTAGTCCGTGTCCAGATGAATTACAGGGCATCAAGTGGAGAGTAGTATTTGCCATCTCTCAATCAAAAACTCTCACCCAGAATTGTTCCTGTTTAAAAGAACTGTAGTGAAAAATTGGAGAAGAGTGTAAGAGAAAAAATTTTCAAAATGAGTCCAAATTGAGATCTATCTCAAAGGGAGGACCTGATAGTATTGGTGATGCTATGGTGTGCTTACATACAGAAACTTAACAGACCTGCCCTCCCTAAGTCCCAACAAGCAGCTGACCTAGGCATAGATGGATACTTATATCCAACCAATGAACAGAAGTTGAGCACCTCTGTGATTGAATTAGGGAAAGGCTGGAAGAAGTTGTAGAGGGTAATCCCATAGGAACACCAGCACTCTCAACTAATCTGGACCCCTGAGATGACCTCTCAGACAATGAGCCAGCAATCAGGCAGGATACGGTAGCTGGTCCAAGGCCCCTGACACATATACAGCAGATAACTGTCTAGTCTAGCCTCAGTGAGTTAAGACATACCTAAATTTTGAGAGACTTGTCACTCTGTGGAGTGGAGCCCTTGCAGAGAGTGGGTGGGTAGGAACAACCTTTTGGAGAGAGACAAGAAAGAATTCAATGAGGACCTGTCAGAGGGTGGAGCAGGATGGGGATAATGGCTATAATGTAAGAAAAGACTAAGGCTAATTCTTTTAAAATCATCTGAAAGTTTGGTGATGGTAGGTATTCATTGTTTATTATTTGATAAAGAAGTACAGATAAAGCTTCTTAGACTAATTCTGCATAATATCTAATATTCCTATTCTAGATTTATGTAACCTTCAAACTTGAATCAGATTAAGCAAAAGCAGAGCATTAATAACTATCATCTTAGTGTATAACTATGAGACATGTCTTGAGATAATCAAACCCTGATGAATCTGAATTGATGAATGGTTTAATCTACCAAGGACCTGAGATTTTAAATATAATGCTTCGAGGTGGTCTACCTACATAAATACTTTCCTGTTGGTTATTCTTCTGTGGCTGCTTTAATAGGAACACTTTTATATACTTTACCTATAGATAGATGTCTCCGTCTAAGTTAGAAATATTCTCTCCTACAGCAAACTGAAAAGTAAATACCTCAAAATAGCTTAAGGATGGTCCTTGAAATGTCCAGATTCACTAGGGCACAACCTGTCAGAGTAAGCAATTAAACTGAATCTTCCTCACAGAAAAGAAAGCCAAGGAGAATAAACAGAAACTAGACAGGTTGCCCAGAAAAGATTTATACCAAATAAGGCACCTGAACAGGACCCTTTTCAATGAGTTGTCCTGTTTTCAGGTTTAGCATTGTGATTCATATTTCCAGCTTTTTAGAGCTGCCACCCATACTTAAGTAAGCATTGGCTGTCTTTAAACCAGTTCTACACACTCTCAACCATACTCTATAAGTAATCTCGGTAAAACTCATCAGTTCCCCAAATGGGCCATTGGTGGGATCTGTTTTGGTCATCTCTGTGTTTGTTATATTGGGAGAGTATATGTTTCTTGTGTCTCCCCTGAAAAGGTTTGTCACAAAACATCACCATGATGAACTGAAATAAATGAGATAAAATAACTTTCACCTATTTCATACTTTATATTAGTATTGTCTCAGAGAATTCACAAAAGAAAATGACAAAATTAAGAAGAAGTAAAATGGGCTGTATCTATCTGATAGTATGGCTGGATACATGGATTTTAAGGATTTGCAGGCTTTTAGAAAATTATGGAGAAATAGTATTCAGAAATCCAAGAATGTTGTCATCTCAATTGAGTGAGCAGTTTTTGCCTGGAATACACCCCAGGATAACAGAATGACAACAGACATGAAGACAGTAAAGTCAATAACTGTGAGGCTTCACTGGGAAATTAATCTATTGTATATTGGAATGTTCACTATTGATGCTAAGGTCTAACAACAACAGAAAACCTGCTAATATCTTTTCATAGTACTATTATAAATATTTATTCATCATTAATGTAATTAATAAATAAGTGTTACATGTCTTATCTGTATCCAGAGCCCTACTCAGCTCTGTCAATGCAGACAGGTTGAAAAGTAGGTACCATACTAGATTACATGTTCTTGCTGGAAGGCCATAAAATTGTGAGTCCACATTGTTCTTTGAACATACAATGCAAAATGATATACATTTGACTACAAATTAGGAGCACAAAAGAAGAGGTCATAAATATCTGGATATTAAGCATGTTCATGCCTGTAGAATGAAGTGGAAGAATAAAATTTACCCAAGATAAGCTACTTTCATATCACCCATGTTGTTTCTTGGATGCAAGGTAATAGACATGATTTAAAAGGATAACCAAATTGGTCCCCTTTGATTCAATATTCCCTGAAGCAAAAATGTTTACAGATTCTATAAAACCTATAGTTATAACAAGTTGATATAAGCAATGTAGCATGTTCATGAGTCTATGTTTATGTTCAGAATATTTATGTTGAACTGCACTAGGTGTGTTGTTTGCCACACACATATCATAATGATAGGATATTAGGGTTTTGTACTTCATGAATCCCAAGCAGGTAACTGAGACTAATATCCTCACAGAATGTCCTGGAGAAAATGTTGAACATATCATGAATTTGCACTGATAAACTGTCATAAGTAAGCTAAAAGATGAATTCTCACCATTTTTCTGAATTTTTACTGATATCGGACTTTTACTTCTTCAGAGAGAAATAAATTTCTGTTCTTTGTAAACCAGGCACCCTGTTGTAATTTGACATAACTTTGTATCAGACTGAGACATTTCTTCTTAAGGGCTACTAAGGATTGCTTAATATGATCTCATTGTCTATGTTTTCACAAACTCTTTTCCACACATGCTACCTCTTTCTGATTATGCTTAGATCATTATGTCAGAGGCTCACATTCTCTAAATGGTCTTCTCTTTAATGTTTATCTTTATGGTTCCCAGTTGTTCTAGGTTTCCTATGGTTTG